ACATATGTTTAATGTGATCCACAAGTTCAATGCAACTTTTCTTTTATGCGTGCTCTCGATACGGAAGGAAAGCCTAATTATGTTCGGAATTTCCTTAGTTCGTCTGCACCTTTCTCTGGGCATGATCACAATTGTTTCTTTGTAAAGCATCCATATGCACCATTCTGGAAGCTACGTTGTAAAGAACATTGAATTTTAATGACCTTGCTGATTGAACTAAATAAAGCTGCTTTACCTCAACATGTATTCCAATGTCTCAGCTTGCGCGCTGCTGAGTTTGCGAGCTTCTTGGGCAGAACGCATGTTTCTTCTGTAATACCTCTAGCCCGTAATTCACATATCCAATCATTTGCCGAGTTTATGGTGAAGTTCGGTACTATACATATCATCATTTGAAGATAGTGCAGAACGCGGCGACTTTGCAGAGCTCGTTTTGCTCAACTTTGTAGTAGAGTCAATATTATATCATGCTAAGAATGTGATCTTTTAGCTGCATGAAAGGAATAGTTATCTCAAAACGACACTGATGACATCAAAAGTGGACCGACTTAAATCACCTTTCCAAAATCATCATCAAATTTTACCAAAGTTGACATCATATTATGAACGTTGTATGAGTTCTATTGCAACATTTTGTTCGCAATGTACTAGCCATTACGATATCAAAGTTCAAGTATTTTCCTTCCCTAATGTATTTGTTTGGGCCCACATCTTTTTCAACAATGACAAAGGACAAGAAGACATCTTGCTTTAGAGAATTCGAATTGCATAGATTACTGTTGCAATCTGCTAAAATAGCAGAGGGATGTGGGATTCACTGGCCAAAATGTATAAATGTAAATTTTCATGTTGGGTTTGTAAGCATAAGCTTAAGAATTTCACCATCAAAATGAAAAGAAGCAGAAAACAATTCGATTGAGCATAATTTACTTTGCGATTTAGAATTATTTGCTGAGGAATCTTCGGCTTCATTCAGTGGAAGCAAATGATGCGCAATTGTGTTAAGAGCTTGGAAGACCGTATATGAACAGCTAACAGAATGAAAATCGCACAGGAGCGTGAGCCTATGTTGATGCCCGTCAGATGCTGTGATATGAAAAGATGAAGGTCCTAACCTAACTCCTCCTCTTATCCTTTTATCTTCATCATACCTGAGGAGTTCTTATTCTCCTTATTATATCAACGTTTTCTTGTAATAGTAATGGATATCATGCTTTCGAAGCCCATGCTAGCTGCATGCTCCGCCTACTAGGTAAGATCTCATTTCGTGCTATATTTAATAGCATTTGTACCATTGCCGCGATACAGTGATGAGGATTGAGGGCTAGACAAGGGGGAGAAGGGACGGTAAATAGGCAAAACCTGGAAATCCAAACACAATAACGTGAATCTTTAAGTGTTTTGCGAATTTGTTCTAACCTCTTATAGGTATCCTTTTCAAAATAGAAGAAATTAATAGCTAAACCAGAACGCTGAATCTATAATAAGGATCCGTTAGATGGTTGGTAGAGGGGGAGGGTTTATACCGATAGAAAAAATGGTGCAGACCTAAATGGTGATTAATGCACTTAACCGAAAAGTGTAATCCCTTTCACCCAACATTTGTGAAAATCTTAATTGGTGACGTTTGCAATTGCCATCTCCTCTCAGTCTCACAAAAAACATGTGTCACTCTGATGGTGTTACAACTTACAGCTTGAGTAATCGGCAAATCTGAATGAGACATGATCCTATATCGAATGTGTCCCTTAGATTTGATTTCTATGTCCACTCATTGGGTTTGCGTAGCCCAGTCTGAGGAAGGCATATGCGGAGTAATGGGCGGAGTTAGAGCCTAGCACTTATGAGGCGTTACTCTCCTCCAGGACACTCAAATAATTGTTCCAGAAAAAAGCGGCGAGACTTTGGACTCCTGTGCGCCTTTCCAGTGCACAATTCAAACTACAGCTACGGATTTACCGTGCTCTGGCTTATAGCGATTCAAATCCTAAATTCGAAGTGCTGATCTCAAATCTCTTTTCCATATCGCCAAAAATTTTCCCCGAACAAGTCATCGACATCTACGTTCAACTTTGAGCCAACTAACAACAAGAAGTTGAATATTTATGTATCGAGGTTTTTTCTCAGATCAAAGATAAATCTTTTGTTTTGTCGTTCCAGGTTGGAGTGAATGTTTCAAAGCAATTAGTCACGTGATACAAAATATATACGGTAGAAAAATAGTGCCACAACTTCGAAAAGAACTGGCAGATCAGATTCAGAATCGTTTTGAGCCGCATTTACCACGTATTTCTTTTTAATTCGCACTTCAACCTAGTATACTTTCCTCTAGCGAAATTATGGTTCAATCTTCTCTACTAACAGCAGTAGCAAAATAGATGTCGCGGGACTGAGCTACGGATAGAAAAAACCAAAGCATGTAGGGAATTCTCAGACTTTGCGGCGACTATAATGTATTTCAGCACACTCAGCTTTCGGACTTTTACACATCTCTTATATGCGCAAAAATTCAGCAATATCCGATTCGTGGGGTAATAGATGTCCTGCAGTCTTATTCCTTGAACATATATCTCAAATACCACTCATAAGCGGTGCACCTAACACAAGCTTCAAAAGGCTTAATTTTTGGAATAAGACAAAAGTATATCCAAAACGTGATACAGCAATAAGGTAAAACCATAATAAATTAGATTTTGATTTGTGTTGGCTCCGATGGTAGCTGGTTCCTCTCCATTCGAATCGTCCAGTTGGCTCTTTATTCTTATGAAGCTCGCGCAGTGTCAAATTGTACAAACTATAAATTAAGAGTTTGGGAAACGATAAACTCACAACACATTACAGTGGTGTAAGGAATTAACAAAATCAAAAGAGTAAAGGAAAGGTTTAGAGTGAATTAGCGACTAGTTAAGTATAATGATACATCAAAATTGTCTACGACTATCTGTACTACTTTTTTTGACAGAAATTGTCACAGTTGGGGTGCGTAGACAACCACAAGTGTGAGATATGTTGGGGATTTGGAGGGGAAGGAGTTAGGTGGGGCTCATATGAATAATACTCTGGGAAATTAGCATTTCAAAGTATTGTAACATCCTAAAATTGATGCCAGTTAACTTAGCGTGTTACCTACATCATATGTTCCGCTTCTTCTCTTTTGGGTGGGAACTACCGGCAGTAGAAAAACAGCTTTTCGGATTCAATCACGACAATTTCGCATTTGCCTAACATTTTTGCAGTTCGAGTAGGCGTGCATCAATGATTTTAACGCAAGAGATACATGCACACTAAACGCTACGAAAGGCATTCTTTGATCTCATGAAACGCGAGAAATTCTCTTGCCTGTCATTGCCTTGTCACAACTAGATGAATGTCCACATCGTTGTGAAGGGGTCATTTTCTTACTTTCTAAATCTTAATATCTTCTAATTATACTAATAATTCGCATTCCGCTATCAAATATGGTCATATTGTAGCATATAGCAGAGATTTGACTTCAGACGAAAGTTTCCAGTTGTTTGTGCCGTAATTAATCGCAAGTAATCGCAACGGAACGACCTTAACTTTTGTTTTCATTCAAAAGTGCAGCGTTGTCACCATAGTACACATGCACAAGGCAAAGCTGCTCTGATCACAAATTGCCGCGCAGCAACTGCGTGTAAATGCGCCAGTGGAACCGTCAACACTTAAGAAAAGTCTGCAGTTCTCATAAATGCACCACTCCCGGACTAACGTCTAGAATAATTTTTTATACTTATATACTTTTATTAGTCGTAGAACATTAGGGTGTTTTCACCTCGAAGTTGTTACAGGGCTATTGGATTGTCATTAATGGTACCATGCTGCGACAGTTGATTACGAAGTCGCTGCAGTTTCCCATCATCGCTCGTTCACTGAGTGCGGCAACTGCCGCCCCCAATGTGACCGTCGACAAAGAGGTATCTAATTAAGGAAACCATTATAAAACGTCTGTTGCACCGCTGGATAAACCAAGTAATACGCATCAATGCGTTTTTAGGCCCTGATGAAGCTTAGAAAGCGCACAGGATACAGCTATGTAAATTGCCGTAAGGCATTGGTACAATTTGGCTCCGAGAATCTAGCCGAAGCAGAGAAGTGGTTGAGAGAACGAGCCAAGAGTGAGGGATGGGCGAAAGCTGCCAAGTAAGTCATTTGCGAGTCTTGTTTTTTTCCAGTTATATTTTATTTGTTGCTGTTATCAGTTAATGGAAAATGTTTTTGCCATTTTAGTTTTTCAGCATAACCAATTTCTGAAAGTTTGATAATTATTCCAGGCTTAGCAGTCGAGCGACTACCCAAGGTCTTATAGCCGTCAAATCTGCTGGGTCTGTTGCTGTGATTGTTGAAATGAGTTGCGAAACGGATTTTGTTGCCCGCGGAGATAATTTCAAATCACTGGTTAGACTGCTGTTTTGTCGTTACGCCGTCTAAGACTGGACTTTAGCTCGAGAAAGTGACGAATTCCGCACTGGAGCATGCTCAAAGGAACCCCCCACAAGGTTCACCAAAGAAGATAGTATCACTAAGTTTTGGTGAGGACAACTGTTAATATTTTCTTTT